CTAGATCACTGGTTTTAGTTCAAAATTGTGGAAGTCCAAACTACAGCTCCCCTACTCTCTAGCCTTAATATTTTCAGTGCATAATTCATTCTTACAGCAAGTTTCTCTTCCCCATATGTGAAATGGGGATAATAGCCCACAGGATGGAAGATAACTAATGGGAATGCACAATGGGCATAGTACCCCCAAATAGCAAGTGGTTATTAAATCCTACCACAGTTTCAGTCAGTCTTCAAGTTTGCATGTGTATTGATCATTATGGATCCTTTGAATTGGAAGATAAAGCTTAAATTAAGCTAACACAAACTAGTGCAAGTAACGAAGTGACTAAGGAATGCCATATTTTAGTGGAAAGAAAGTATCTAAAGTTGAGGAGTTGCTTATGGTTTCACTGAAATTTTGAAACCTGTGTCAATCCTTGAAGACATAGTGAGATTGAATCAGTAGCTAGACATCATGAAAGAAAGAAGATTGCACTTGTTTTATGTACAGAGCACCATGTTTGTGGAATTACAATCCATAAGATGTTTCCCATTAGAAGAAAGAGTTAGAAAAGAGCAAAAAACACCTCAAAGAAAATTGAAAATTTTAATTCTCATCAGTAGATTAATTTGATCATGAGAGATGAATTACTATTAGTACTGCCTGCCCCATAGATAATGTCAGGTTAGGATCCTCTCCACTTTGTGAAATAGAAAGATGATGTAAGTAAGGAGAGGATATCAGTCAACCGACAACTATAAACCAGAACATTTTAAGGAGTGGAGAGGGGAACAGGATCAAAACGGGAGCAGGACGAGCCCAGGGACTAGGGTGATGACACACCGGTGAAGTGGTAGTGGGAAGTCCACGGGGATTACAACAGAGATGAAATAAGTACAAGATGAAGAATAATGTAATATATATATATGTTTATAAAATAAAAAAAGGAAGATGACATTTTAGAGAAGAAAATGCTTTTCGGTACATCATATTTTCCAGAACTATATTTTCATGATGTAAAAGATGGAATTAACCATTGTCCAAGCTTTTATTAGTTTCCTAGATATTAGGAAACATATCCAGAGTTGGAAATTTGCTTCTTGCCTTTCTCACTAACACCTTGATCCAAGTCACCATCATCTTGTGTATGGACTAGTGAGGTTAATGCAATAGAAAATGCAGTGGGCAAGACGACAGGAGCCCACATCATCCTCCCACAGAAGCCCTCCTTAACCTTGCCTACACAGGAGATCCCAAGGTAAAGGCTATCTTATTGTAGATTGACTTTCAAACATTATGCAAATCTATGTTTATTGAATGCTTGTTAAGTCAGGCATTATTATTGCCCCATTTTACACGTGGGAATACTGAGGCTCAGACTTAACAATTATGCAAAACAAACAGAAGATAGACTTGGTATAGCTGGACTAGCCATATATACTTAGAAGAAGAATACTGTGTATAAAATTGGAGGAGTGATCAGAAGGAATATGAGAATGGAAGGAATTTGTTGGAAGCAAATGGAAATGGGTGAGGATAGGTTGGATTTCTCCCAAATCTGGACTGGCTCTGTTCAATATCCATCTCTTTAAGGCAGACATAGGCAAACATCTCAACCCTAGTCTTTTTTTTTTTTTTCAGATTAATTTATTTTTTCAAACAAGACTGAAGTATAGGCCAGACATATAGGTGGTGAGAGGACAGCGGGGAGCAGAACAAGCAGATTGACTGAAATGCACTGCTGAGGGGAGCAGTGGGCAGGTCAGGAGAGGTCTGCACTTGTGGGTCACGTCCCTGGCTGGGGGTCGAACTGGTGCTGAAGTGGCTGCAGATAGCTTCATAGTGCTGTGCTTGAATCTGTTGCACCACCAAAGAGGGCCCAACCCTAGTCTTAATGTGCAAAAATTTAATATACCAGTTTGCATTATATATAGGAATCGTGCAAGTTCAGTTGAGTTCAATGGAAACTGATGGCCAATTGATAACGAAGATGATACAAATTAAACAATCAGTGTAGTGTCTGCATGCAATGTCTTTCATCTTGACTCACACATTTTCCTTGTGTTGTCTTAAGTGTCTTAATCACCTCTACACATATTTCTATAGAATCCCAATATAGAAAAAAATATACAAACTCTCTCTAGGTAACATATAAAGCTTCTTTTCACACAATAAAGATAATAGCAAGTGGTAATTGAAGTTAAATGAAATAAATCAATCTCTTGCATGGATATTCCTTGTCCGTGTTTGAAACTTGAATAGGAAGGGAAACACATACATACTCATCAATAACCAATACTGGATTTTGTGTAAATTAAGCCTCTATGATTTCCTTCTTTAATAACATAGAAAAATAAAATAATGGTTTATAAAAGCAACATCTTTTTATCCTGCACACTGTATGATCTGTCAATACTTAAATATGATATGTTTTTATATCTATGTGAAAATGTCAGAATTCCTATGAAACACCTCTGTTGGACATAACAATGTCTAGGCACTGTTACTACACACTTGCTATTTTTCCATTGCAGGACTTCAAGTGATCTACAGTGACCTCCATGGAGAATAGCACAAAGGTGACTGAATTCATTTTTGTGGGGATATCTGATGACCCAGACCTGCAGATCCCCCTCTTCTTCATATTCACGCTCATCTATCTCATCACGCTGATTGGGAATGTGGGGATGATGGTGTTGATCCTCGTGGATTCTCATCTCCACACACCCATGTACTTATTCCTCAGTAATCTGTCCCTGGCAGACTTAGGTTACTCCACAGCTATCACTCCCAAGGTGATGGCCCAGCTCCTTATAGGAAGCAACGTCATTTCCTACAATGCATGTGCTGCTCAGCTGTTCTTTTTCGTCGTCTTTATCACAGTAGAGAATTTCCTCTTGGCTGTGATGGCCTTTGACCGCTATGCAGCCGTGTGCAAACCCCTGCATTACACCACCATCATGACCACAGGTGTATGTGAGTATATGATAATAGGCTGCTATGTCCTTGCTTTCCTGACGGCCTCCATCCACACTGGGAACATATTCAGCCTGTCTTATTGTAGAGCCAATGTGATTAATCACTTTTTCTGTGACGGTCCTCCTGTCATGATTCTCTCCTGCTCAAACAAAATCAGAAACGAATTGCTCTTATTTACTTTTGTGTGCATCAATGTTATATTTTCTACTGGGATCATCTTGATCTCCTACCTGTTCATATTTGTCACCGTTCTGAGGATGCACTCCTCAGAAGGTCATAGGAAGGCCTTCTCCACCTGTGCCTCCCACCTCACCGCCATCTCCATCTTCTATGGGACAGCCGTGTTCATGTATCTACAGTCAAACTCCAACCGCTCCCTGGGTACTGACAAACTGGCCTCTGTGTTCTATGCCATAGTCATCCCCATGCTGAACCCACTGGTCTACAGCCT